CCTCTCTATATGTCCAAACCATCTCAACATACCTTTCTCAATCCTCGACACTACATCTTCTTTCACTCCACAACCTTCCCTAAAATTAACTTAATAAACTTTACTTGAAGTTTTAAGTCAACTTCGCACTGTTTGTGCGTGCCCGCATGTGGTATTTTGTGGAAGAGCCACACTCAAGGGGCCAAAGAGACGCATGTGGTTTGCGAGCCACAGTTTGCCGACCACTGGCCTAACTCATATAGGAACCCACCACTTAATCCAGTAGAAATACCTCAGATCAGATCAAAAGTTGTTCCAGCCCAACTCTGCCAGGGGTCCCAGGGTGAGAGAGACCACTGGCATTTCCCTTGACAAGATCCTCACTCTATGCACAGGGAAATTCCAGGCTCTTTAATAATCGGTTACAGCCGAAGCTGGTTTTGCTCAGTGGATAGAGCGTCGGCCTGCGGACTGAAGGGTCCCAGGTTCGATTCCGGTCAAGGGCATGTACCTGGGTTGCAGGCACTTCCCCAGTGAGGGATGTGCAGGAGGCATCTGATCGATGTTTCTCTCTCATCAATGTTTCTAACTCTTTATCCCTCTCCTTTCCTCTCTGTAAAAAATCAATAAAATATATTTAAAAAAATAATAATTGGTTACAGATCCATTATTCATTAACTGATCAAAAGTCTTCATAAAAATGTTGGTCCCCTATCTACCTAATCAAGGAATGAGTAAGAGCAGCGATTACCAGCTTCCCCATCAAGCTCCCTGAGTAGTTTCATTTCTATCTAGTTCCCTTCTCCTCACACCCGCAGGCCAAGGAGGGTGTGGGTGTGCGGTGGGGTCACCTGGACGGAGTGCTCAATGCTCCAGAGCAGGGGTCCTCAAACTAAGGCCCGTGGGCCACATGCAAATACAAATATTGTATATGTTCCCGCTTTGTTTTTTTACTTCAAAATAAGATATGTGCAGTGTGCATAGGAATTTGTTCATAGTTTTTTTTTAAACTATAGTCCGGCCCTCCAACGGTCTAGGGACAGTGAACTGCCCCCCTATTTAAAAAGTTTGAGGACCTCTGCTCCAGAGGAACAGCAGTGCGCACGCCCATGAGATAACAGTGTGGAAGGTGGGCAGCATGGCTTCGGAGCAGGATGCCAGGGGGGTGGACTGCAGCTGCCACTCAGCAGCTAAGCAAACTGAGGTCAGTCACTGACCTCCTGGGGCCTCCATGTCTTCAGCTACAATGGGGACAGTAAGAACATCTACTTTTGAGGTAACTGTGAGGAATAAATCAGACAATAAGTGTAAGACACTTAGAACCGTGGCTGGCAACAGTTCTCAATTAGTATTAGTTTTTATATATAACTAGAGGCCCGGTGCACAAAAATTTGTGCACTTGGGAGGGTCCCTCAGCCTGACCTGTACACTCTCGCAGTCTGGGACCCCTTGGGGAACGACCACCTGCTGGCTTAGGCGCACTCCCCGCAGTATTGGGCCTAAGCTGGCAGTCAGACATCCCTCTGACAGCCCGGGAGCCCTCGGGGGATGTCCACTTGCCAGCAGGGACCAGGCCTAGCTGCAGTTGGACATCCTTAGCGCTGCTGAGGAGGCGGGAGAGGCTCTCACCATCACCACTGTACTGGCAGCCATCAGCCTGGCTTGTGGCTGATCAGAGCTCCCGTTGTGGGAGTGCACTGACCACCAGGGGGCAGCTCCTACATTAAGCATTTGCCCCCTGGTGGTCAGTGTGTCCCCGCCCCCCAGCCACCCAAGCTCCCAGTGGAGGCTGGCTGGAAGCAGGTATCTGGGATTGATTTAGCTTGTATAATTGAAACTTTGTTGCCTTTTGCGGAGGCCATAGCTGACCAGAGCAGGCAGGAAGCTTTGCTTCCTCAATCGCCAGGGCAACCAAGCCTCCTGCTTGCTCCAGCTCCATGGCTGCCGGCCGCCATCTTGGTTGGGTTAATTTGCATATAGTCGCTCTGATTGTCTGCTGGGCATGGCTTGGGCATAATGAAGGTATGGTCACTTAGCATCTTTGTCTTTTATTAGTGCAGATAGCCCCAAACTGTAACAGCTTCGATGACCCTCAATGTGTGGTTAAACGGACCGTGGGACACCCATACCATGGAATACTACTCAGCAACAAAAGGGCGCTACTGACATACACAACCACCTGGAAGGCTCCCACTCCTGTGGAATAAAAACAGCCAACCTCGCCTGTCTGGGCATCTCAGTGGTTGAGCATCAACCTATGAACCAGGAGGTCAGAGATCAATTCCTGATGAGGGCACATGCCTGGGTCCGATCCCCAGTGGGGCTGCATGTAGGAGGCAGATTATCAATGATTCTCTCTCATCACTGATGTTTCTCCTTCTCTCCCTCCCTCTCTGAAATTAATAAAAATTAAACAAATAAAAAAGCCAACCTTAAAAGATTACAAACTTTATTATTCCATTTACATAACATTTAAAAATAAAATTATAGAGGTGGAGAACAGAGCAGTGGTTGCCAGGCATAGGGTGGGGAAGGAGGTGGGTGTGATTCTAAAGAGAGAGCCTGAGGGAGCCGTGTGGTGACGGACATGTGTACCTTGACTGTGGGGGTGGGTGCCTGAATCTACACATGACAAACTGCATAGAACCATGCAGAGAGGAAATGGTAAAATCTAAATAAACTTAATTTGGATACAAATTAAGTTCAAAGCTTATAAAATTGTTTCATTATGAAGGTTTCCTCATGACCTTTTATTAAGACCTCACAAATCACACTCTTCATCTGGCTCTCTCTACTACTTATTCCCTCCAAGAACTCCCCCCAAATTATAAAAAATAGAAGTCTGTAGGTATACATTGAGAACATGCACAGTTCTTACACAATATCCCAGCTTGTCCAACCTCCCAGCATCTCATCCAGAACAGAATCACAGAATCACGGCAGCGCAGCCTCGAACAGCCCCGCAGCAGAAATGGCGACTCCTTTCCAAACCCCACCTTTGCATGGTAACGAGAGGAACCGCAGGAACACTGACTGGGATGAATGCTCCCAAGAGCCGTGAAGACAGCAAGCCGGGAGGTTCCTCCTGCCTCGGCCACGACGCACACTCAGAAGTCAAAATCAACAGGCCAAGGATCGCCAACAGCCGATCACAAACTCCCAGGGTCGGCAAAGGCCCACCCAACTGCTTTCACCTGGAAGAACGTCAGTTCACCACAAACCTGAAAAACCTTACTTGGCCCAGAGCTGGGAGTCCACTTCTCACTGGGATCCCCCTTCAGTTTCTCACAGGCAGCTCTTTCCTTCCGGGCGACGGGACAGGGTGCCGTCTGGGGAACAGGGTGCCGACTGGGGAACAGTGAGGCCGGACACATGGGGAGCCTGCTGCCAAGTCAACAGGTTTTTGAATTGGACTCATGGAGGTTGAGAGATGACTGTGGGCCTGCCCAGTTGAGAGGTGACCCATGCACCAAGAGGTCGCTGGTTCGATTCTAGGTCAGGGTACATGCTGGGATTGCAGGATCAGTTCCCCAGTAGGGGCCATACAGGAGGCAGCCAACTAATGTCTCTCATCAATGTTTCCATATCTACCTCTCCCTACAAAAAGAAAATCAATAAAAAATTTTTAAATAAAAAAATAATTAAAAAAAGAAGAAAAAAAAAGAGAGAGAGAGATGACTGTGGAAGCCAAGTATAAGAAGAGTTCAATACAATTCCAGGGCCACCTCACTGCTACTGCGTAAACTTCCAGGTTCACTGGCACTTCTCCTCCTTAGATTTGGTTTTTCAATCTCCGCTGTTAGAGACCAGCCAAAGGTATCAGCTTGCCCACCATCTTCCTTAAACTCCTGTGTTTTGATCTGTCGGGTTCAGGAAGGATGAAATCTCTCCCCAGGATGCAAAGAAGTTGAAGAGATTCAGATCTGCTTCTGGAAGAACTCCGTGGCCTGGCCCGCCGGCTTCCGCTGCATGGCTTCCTTCTGTGCCGGCTTCCAGCAGACCCAAGAGGCTCTCCGCCAAATAAGGC